GGCCTCTGTTCCTTGGAGATTTGTCCGTATCTGCTGTGCAAGCTCTGAGAATCTGCTTATTTCCCATGCCTGACTTCTTATTTGGGGTAAAGGTCTGTGAATTCCATATAAATATTTACAACTATTTTGTTGTTATGTCAGGAAGCTCTGATTGGTGCGTTCTTGCAAAGAATAATGTCTCTATTAAACTGAAACAGAGAAGAATAATTATCACTTAAAAGCTTAATATGCATAGGCATCTATACTTTCATAGCGCCTTTCAAGCTTGGCCTGATTTTTTTTTTTAAAAAAAAACTTAAATCAGTAAACAAGGATATTAATTGTGTGACCAACACTCTAAAACCTATAATATAAAAGCAAGGTAATACTGCATTTCTTGTTCATAGATACACTTTCTGGAAGTTTGAAGCAATGAAGCAAAATGAATTGAGAGGGTTTTGGGAGGGAAGCCATTTTGAGAAAACCTGAAATACATGCAATATTGGTTTTAGCACACTTTAGGGATGTAAAGTTATTTTGTGGCATTGTAAAACGTACTACACATAAACTGGTTGCTCCCAAAGGTATGTTTGATTTATAAAATTTAAAGTATGGTTTCTTCAATCTTAAACTAATTGATATAATTTACTTCAAAATATTCTTTATAAATGGAGGTACAAGCTGTTGAACTAGGTATATAGCAACTCCTATTTAGCTTAAACAGGCAGACAAAGTTAACACTGAAAAATAAAAAAATAAAATGGCAAAAGTAAAATTATTTATTAATGAATTTACCTTGTACCAAAGAACACATTTTCAAGTTTCTTAAGATCTTTTGTTATTTATCATTTTCATGAACTCATGAAAATTGAAGATTTGTTTATTTATTAATCTAATGTTATATGATTGTCTCTGTACTGAGATAGAATTCATTTCTGCACATTTAGAACTTGACTTTCTACTTAATAATTGCTTGATAGGTGGCATAGCTGGTAAACGGAGTAGTTCAGGGGTGTTTAGATTTCTGCTAGCTTTGTTTTCAGAGCTGCAGAATATTTTATAAATATTGTTTGCTTTATAGCAAAATCAATATTAAAAAGCAATAGCATTGGTTGGCCCACATCAGGCATTATCAATAACTTAAAATTTACAAGAGATTTTAATGCTCTGGTATTTTAATTATTGTTTATAGTGCCTTTGTTTTAAATGGTTTTATATTATGTTGCATGTTAAACGTATTGTTAG